TGGAGTGGCTGGCTCTCAAGAAACCCTGTAGTCATTATTTTATGGTAATGGCGAAATACGGCTACCTTTCCTCTTCGAATTCACTATTGTTGCCATGTCTTACCTTCCACAATCCCTTCATACTTCCCATAGAAACAGTCTTCTTCTTCTACCCTACATCTTTATCGAATAACTGTGGTGTGATTCCTCCATTAGGAAAAGTCCGCTTTCCCACGTGTATTCTCTATTCTCTGTGACCGTTAGACTGTTTTCCACTACGGCAACTGTTATGCGAAGATCTTTCGCGATAACACGCTAAGTTCAAGTATGAATGCTCTTTTGTCACGTAAGCCTGTCAATCTGATAATGAGTTTCTATCAATCATAAAGAGCCAAAGAGCAACACGAGATCATTTTCTGAAACGTAACGTGGCTGAATTTTGGCTTTCTCCTAATACTGTCTGAGCAGTTTGTTGTGAATACTTCAAATCATTTCCGACGTCATGGGGGGTAATCGTGATTCTTATATAACATATGCCCTTTTCACTTTCTTTTCTTCCCCCTCCCCCTCCCCTGGTTAAACGGACATGTTTGAGATTCATTCTCCACATTTTATACACTAACTTATTAGTATAGATATAAAGTAACTATATCTAGTCATACTTTGAAGTTGAGATGTATTTATACTGTACCATGCTTATAATGAACAACGGAAGCAAAGCAACAGTGGGTGAAATTGTCCGGAAACTCGGTGGGCTTATCTAACAGTGTGCAGGTCCTCGAAACACGTTTTTCGGAGACGATGCTGATTAATGCTTTTAGATCGCGGCGTGAAGAACGATCCCAGTCGAAGTGGATCAATACCTTTGGTTGTTCCTCAGGGGCTACCGAGCATTTTCAGAATGACAGCATCATCTTTGGAGGTAAGTGCTTTATAGTTTGTTCTTCCTTACATATTTACTCATAATTTATCTTTTATAATTCACGCGTCACTGTTGAGCGTTTTCTTGCGTTTCGATACTGTTTCGATATGAATGTTTACTCTTTGTTTTCTTTCCCTATCATAATTGCATTTGTGCGCTATCTTATAGTGTTGCTAATATTCCTCCTGGTTTAGTGACGTGATCAAACTTTATGCGTCCTCAGGCATTCAAAAGAATGTATTGCTTTATGTTTTCTGTTGCTTTTCGGAGAGCTTTATTGCGCATTGCCATTATTTCACAGTTTTGCTTTGCTTGGATCCGTTCTGCTCGATTCAACATTTTTCATAGAGGTCCCATGTGGGTGTAAACTTTGCGGCCTCACTTTTATGGTTTCTCTGAACGCATTCATATCTTCTTTACCTCTGAGCAGTAAATCGCTTTGCAATTCTGAAGGCCTCGATGAGATTTATTGTTCAGTCCNTTCAGTCCTGTTGACGCCGTTGAAAATTGTAGCGATGCTGCTGGGTGATAAGCGATATATGACCTAAAAGTTCAATTTGAGGTCTTCTTGCGGTTGGGTGGCCAGTAAAGTCAAACTAACCAGTTTTTCTTAAGAAATTTGGCAAGGGGATCGGCTGCCTCTGTCTAGTTGATTAAAAGGTATTATAGAAGTAAGCTTACTCTTCATTTGTTATTCTGAGAGGGCTATCTCAACCCTGAATCGATGTTATCAACCAGGTGGTGGCCGTGTTTACTGTCGTATTTTGATGCATTGTGAAATTTCACCGTCAGCTGTGCCTCTGAGCATGGTAAATAAGCATATTCAGAATGATCTTGGCGTGGCGATATTGACGAAGAACGAGTCAGCTGTGAAATCGTTGATCTGCAATGGAGTTGATGTCAATAGAACCGACTCTGTTGGTAGTTTGCCACTACATTACGCTGCTTACGTTGGTGACACCACGATGATGCTGATGCTTATCGGTGAGCTTTCATTTCAGAGTTCCATTTTTGTTTGAGCGATTGATCCAACCTGTATAATTCAATTTGATTCTTAGTGAATGTTTAGCTGTGTAGGAATATCTATATTTTGTCAGGGCTGCAAAATCCAGTTTAGCCTATCCAGCATAGCTAAAACCTATGGATATCGCTAATATTTTCCAACAATATGTCCTGGTTTTCAGACTCTGGTGCCGACCTGAATGCTCAGGATATGCTAGGCCTGACGCCTCTACATCGTGCCATTGCCGCGTTGCGTTATGACGTGGCAGAGCTCCTGATAAACAAAGGTACGATTTTATGCTGTTCAGGCCGGTTTAGATCTTATTATAGATAAGAGAGCTTTATAATGCGTGTGACGTAATGACTAAAGATTATAATCTGCGATCAGCTGCTGCTTTTTTCATAGGCGGACGCAGCTTGGATTTAACTTTAGTTAGCTTAACTATTTCTATATCAACCGCCGATTTCGAAAACAGCTCACTCTAAAGTTACCTTTGATCAAAATAAGATATTCTTCCTTATTAGGTTTCAGGTTAAAAGGATTGCTGTTATATCATGTGATAAATTTTTTTTTCGTTAGTTCAGCTCGTTCAGAAGGTTTTCGTGATCAGTTCATCTTGTGCTGAAGAAGGCGTAGGATTTGCTCGTGTTTGTTGTTTGTTTGTTTGTTTGTGTTTTTGTGTGGGAGAGACTTTCATTATTCTCAATTGAAGAATTGCATTGCATAATTCTTGTGTGCATACAAAGTTCATCACCATGATAGTAGCTTTTATCAGGATGCGATACTACACTTCAATGTAAAATTCATCAAACACCCCTTCACATATGTGCTATACACAATGTTCCCAATGTTGCAACACTGTTGCTACGTAATCGATATATCATGTTAGGTGAGTTGTATGTGCACTATTGAGTTGCTTACCAACTTTTTGCCAGAACCGTCATTTTCAAAACTTACCCAGTTTTATCCATCTGTTTCAGATAGTGCAGACTCTCGCGGATGCACAGCTTTACATCATGCGGCCTACCATGGCCATGTGGAGATTGCGGAGTTGCTATTGAAAGCTGGGATCAACATGGCTGCTACGTGAGATTATAAATTTTTGTGTTTATGCTCGATCTTAACATAGGAGAGCATTATTTTGTATTTTCAATTGTTCTTAAAACAAGTGTTTTTAAGTATTTGATCTTAATTTCAAAATTTTGGCTCCATCGGTTCAGTGACAAACTGGGCCGTACTGCCATGCATTCGATGGCATGTGGAGGCAACCTTGGAATGTTAGCTGTGTTACGTGAAGCAGGCGCTTCGATTGCTGTTTGTGATTTTCATGGTCGAACTGTAGCTCATTATGCTGCTATGGCATCGCAAACGGAGATGCTAGGTGAGCTTTAAATTTAGAAAGTTTATTTGGTTTGTCTCCAATTATTCTCATTCAAAAGTTCGTCAGGAAATTATTTTAAATAAATCTGTTTTTGGCCTAAGCGAATATTCATTTATATAATTATTGCTTCCTTGTTTTTTCGAGGTCAGTGTCACTATATATTTATGGTAATTGTAATTCTTCAGAGGCTCTGCTGAGAATTGATAAAAATTTCCTTGATGCCAGAGATAATGACGGGTATACTCCTCTGCATTATGCTGTACAAAATGGGCAGAATGTGAAGACCATAGATCTGTAGGTCATAACCTGTTCGGTTAATTTAGTGTTTGAATCATCATAGGTACTTTCTCGTATTTTCAGTTTGGTGCAAAGTGGTTGTGATGTTGCTGCTGCTGCATGTGATGGTACAACACCGCTACATGTCGCGGCTTCTCTAGCCGAATCTGCGAAACCGATAGAATACCTGATAAATGTAAGGGTTATGATCGGACCCAATACAACGCTTATGCTTTCTTTGATAAGTTCTCGCCGTTTTTTACTTTCTAGTGCATTTCGTGCAAGTTTTAGTGTAAGGGCATTGACCTCAATGCGAAGAACGCCGATGGAATGACACCGCTCCATTTGGCTAGTGAATGGACAAAAGTTTCACGAGTGGACACACTCATTCAAGGTTTGTTACAAGTCTTTCATTTACTGAACTTAAATCGTTGGTAGTCTGCTTCACTTAGGATGTTTCTTCTTTAACTTTATTTTGTGCTTTTTTTTGACTTTTGAATGCCATTTATTTGGGGATGTAAAAAAATGGGAAGCCATTGAGAATTTCGCTTCCTTCCATCGTGTTCTACTTCGAAATTACTTTCTTGTACCCAAAAACTGATGAACCTTTTACAGTTCACATGATGCAAGTTTTACAGTAGGCAGGGAATTTGTGAGACTGCGCGAGTGTACTTTCTAACATTAACGCAGTTCAACCTTTACAAGTTGGCTTCCTAACATTGCCCAGTGCTTACTTTCTTCATACAATCAAAATATTTGTTGTGCTTCAAACGCTGAGAGTCGTAAGCTCCGAATGGTTACTATGTAGCCAAATCTGTAATCACCAGCGTTGCCTGTTTATCTCGTGCCGCCGTCTCTCGCTTAGTCGTTACTTTCATTGAACAATAAAATATAACGTTCCAATCATATGAGCTGTGTTGCATGAAAAGTGTTCTCCTCATTTCGAGCGTTCCTCAAAACAGTTTCTTGTTTTCTCCCACACCAATGTTGCGAGTACCCACCATACCTTAATCTTCGAAAACGGATTTTGTGTAGAATGTAGATTTCTCAGCTTTTCTTTGGCAACCAGATAAGCTTTCAGACGAAGCTTATTTGTTTTCTAAATTTTTTTAAAAGAATTATTGCTTCCTTTATTTCCAATTCTTTCTATTCAGATTTATTCTTTCTTTTGCTTTCATAAAAGCAGTAAGTTAAGGTGCAACTAATTGGAAGTCGAAAGGAGTTGCACGAACATTGTATGCATCCGAAAAATGCTATTATTTCAAAAATCATATAAGATTGGACTAAAATATTTCGAAATTCGTTCATGTTCTTCGCATCTTACGACTGCTACCATTCATTTCATACGCGAGAGGATTTTCTTGAATCTTCAGTATCCAACACCCACGACATTTTCTTCATTTACTTTTCTTTTGCAACAGATACACGTTTTTTTTGCTTCGGTCTCATCATAACTGCCTCCACCTCTGTATCGTAAAAGTATCGTAAAAGACAAATGGTGTATCTGTATGAGCTCCGTTTGATAACAGCTTTTCAAAAAAATCTGAGAGCTTTTCAATTGGTTCAGTGTCTTTGTGGCATATTCATCTCAGCTCCAAGCATTTTCGAACTCGGGGTATCGAACCTAGAATGTGTAAGGTCCCGGAGCTGAGTTGTCTATATTTCTGTATTAGATCTGCCCGTGCTACATATTTACTTTCTCTAAGATAGCATTTGTCTTGTGCCGAAAGCGAAATTGCCCTCGATCTGACAATCAATTCGTATATATAGTGCAGTCATTTTCGATGAGAATTCCCGAAGAGGATTACATTTCTATGTGTACTTTTCGTGGTCGCACTTGTGTCACATCGTATGCACTTCTGCTGTTTGCCTCTTGGATATTCGTTTTTGATTTTCTCATGATATTTTTCGTTAAAAAATCTGAGAACTTCTTCATTTCCTAACCTTCGTCGTTCATAAAGTCTACTTTTGTAATCTCCCGGATGAATGTCTTCCTGAAAATCGTGTATAACTCACGAAAATTGTGTTCGCAGCAGTTGTGGCTATTATCGGGTCATTATACTCAGTCCACATTTACCGCGCAGATATTCCGCAGCTATATGAAGGCAATGAATAAGTGTGTTCTCGATGAAGCTACTGTTAAATGTGCTTCTGGGGTTCCCGGGCGGACTAGCTCCATCACTGACTTCCTCATTCACTGACATGAACGTACTTGGTCAACTTTGATCCTGCTTTTCTCCTGGAGCTCTCGGCCTCAGGCGGATCGTGGCAGGAATGCTTCACCGCGTATAAATTAAAGTTAGTGGGTGTACCGGGGTGTATTCAGTCTCTGACATACGATCTTCGCGTAGTATTGCTCGCATACTACTGGAGGCCATTTTGACAATTTTTTATCACTTGATGATTTTTTTCTGGATCATAATTTATGATTGCTATGCAATCGTAAACTTAGAGCTCTTAGTTTTCTTCCGAAGAAACTGAATTTCTTCGTCATGGTCCTTATTCTGACTTTTTTGAATTTTGGTAATTGAAAAAATTAGATTTTTGTATTTGTTAGCCAGATCAAGGGGTAATTTAATTGTTTCGGGTATGGAGGAAGTCGTGCCTGGAAACGAATTCTGATGAAAGAAATTCCATGCGCACATATATCATCCTGCTCGTTCGATTTCTAAAAGTGTCACTCAGTGTTGAGTGAATGCACATACACACACAGCTGTTAATAACGTTTCTGGCAATGTCATCTGACAGCCTTCGTGCCTATTTGCTTGCTATTTCCCTTAGTCTAGCAGCTTCACATTCGTTCGGGATGTTTAGGCACCGACGACAGAGTGAGAATCTCGAGGGGCTCGGATTTCTTTTTGGAGCGATAACATTTAGATACAGCCAGTGCTGAATTGAGTCAGAACTATTTCAGACAAAATGAACTCATTTCAAAGCGTAGCTATCGAAGGCGCTGTCATGCAGAAGAGTGCATCTCTTCAAATTATCGTGAGCTGAAGCAACGTTGCGTGGCAATGCTTTTTTGGATCATGATGAAGAAAAGCAAGTAGAAAAGTGCAAAAGAGGAAGTACATCTACAAGGGATGGTCCAGAAAATGCCCATAACCTCATTCTGCACGTGCTGCGGCTGGTAGATGAAGTCAAGCGTCCAAGGGCACAATTAAGCAATAGAAATTTGTTGGACATCTCTGCGAAGCTGCCAAATGCTTCGAACCCTTTCGGTCAACTAATGTAGCTCCAATTTCTAGTCGATGGCTGGCAAGGAATTTAACGGCTTCTGATCACGGTTATTGGGGTTATCGTTGGGTCATCGGCAACGAAGGTCCTGCTTAATTGTACTGAATTTTTTTCCTTTTTTCTCTGTCTGGGAATATTTTAAATACTTCTGCCTGGGTTGGCTTATATTTATCTGTGCTTCATTTCAATCTAATGTAGCTCTTCTGTTTCTCTCTTCAATCCCGCAAGTAAAGGTGTCTCCTGTTTGTTGGTTGACGCCCTCTCCTCTCCTATTTGCGACTGGCTTCTTTCATAGTCCACGATTTTGCGAGCGACCAGTCGCGCG